ACTAGGACAATAGGACTTCATTAAAATTTTGGTTTCAGGCTAGAAAGGGAGATGTAAAAACAAGGGATGAAGAACAGACTTTTTAAATGGGCAATGCTTTGTCAGCCTTGTTTCAGTCAAATTTGTATGTATCACATATTTTTGCCCACAGTGGTGATCAAAAATGTCTTGCATAACCAGCAGGGTCCCTTGCCGAATGCATCTACACAGCACAGTATCCACCACATACCCATTATTGAAAAATAAGTGGAAAATTAAAACCAACCATCAGTTTCCATTTTGCATACGCATATTTTTGTTGTTAGCTCCTTAAGCGAGTTGGTTAAAACCCTCTTTCTAAACCTTTCCCTTCTGCAACCCCACCAATGACCTGGCTTGAATGCAGACCATCTGACTGAGAAAGATGCCTGTTTAGCAGACATATTTCCCAGCAAAAAAGGTTACAGAAAGGACGTTCCACAGGGCAAACAAACAGGTGAGGTGCCAGAAGACAGAGCATGCGTGCTAGATTTAATAATTCAAGTAGGGCTTGTTATAGTACAAAGTGTGCTGGTTGCATCAAAAGGACCAAAGATAATATTTCCCATCTGTGGAATTTTAATGCATAAATTCTGTTTATTTATGTTTGTCCCTCTTTTTGAAAACAAATTGGAAAAATGAGGATAAATTCTTTGCCAATGCCACATTCTCTCTTCATCTTCAGAACTGCAAAAACTATAAAGCATCAGTCTCTTGAAATGCTGACAGCTCAGGCAGAAACTTGGACACCGTCAGGAATCAGAGTAAGCTGAGTTTGGGAGGTCAGATAATAGTAGGTTTAACTACCATAGCAGGGCAGGTTGAAAGCAGGAGAAAATCAGTGAAGACAAAGAAGAATCAGTGCTGAGGTTCAAAAGTAACCTTGAATACTTAAACTACTACACGTACAACAGCACATATCTAAAATGATTTCAAAAAAGCATTTCAGAAAGATGGCCAAATTCATCAGCCAGTACCCTACTTACTTCAGAATAACAGATTCAGAAGACCTACATTCTCTTCCCAGTTTAGCCACTAGCTTATTGGATGACTTGCTGGGATGACACTTTAACTTTTGTTTGTCAGTTACCCCCCTGGAAAATGGTAATGATACTTGCCTCTTTTGTGAAGCACAGACCTACTCACAGGAAATGACACACAAATGTTAGATATTAGTATCATTATTATCATCATTAATAATAATAATAAAAAAATAGTATCTTCTAAATTTTTCGGATGCGAATGCAGATTATTTTTCTCTTTTGTCACTGTTAGTGTCTTAAGTTATCTGGTATAAATACAAGTAGCATGTGTTTCCATCTCCTTCTATTTTTAACATCACAGTAAGTTTTGAAAACTTTCATCATTCCAGTTTTTTTTCACCTGCAATTTTAATGTGACATATAAGCCAAAAACCCTGACCCAAATGCAGGGACTTTCTCACTCGCAACTGCTATAATTGGCCCTGCCCACTTCTCTGCCTCACCCCTTTCTCCGAGATCTTGTCTCTGCTGCAGAAAAGACTCCACTCCCCTGAAACTACTGCTGAACTGCTGCATGCTGCATGCCAGCAAACAGAGGGAAACCTCTGGAAAACCAATTTTACGTGGACTGACCTGATTTTGGAAATGTTGCTATTTCTTTCGGAGCTCTAAAGAGATCCCAGGAAACATAAAATATTAAGTATCTTAGTTAAATATGTAAAATCAGATGGAAATAATATAGCTTAAATATGGGCTTAGCACAAACACAAGAAATCCAAAGATGTGTAACTTGCCTACCAAAAAGTAGCAGAATTGGACTTTTAGTTTTTTTGCATTCAAATACAGAACTAAACGTTTGCATATGGAATAGACTGAATAAATCCATTTGTCACTGTGACAAAATTTGCAACAAGTAATTACATTACCAAAAACATCCTGAGTATGGTAATATGTTAGGAGTGATGTTTAGACATAACAGTTCCAGACAAATTACATGAAACACACATTTTTCTAATCAGCAAAGATAACACATTCAGCATGATCCAGTGAAAGGGATTAATAGATCAGCAACAGAGGCATTCTTCAGGCAATCACTGGAGAAAAAGGGGCTGATCATATTGTTTTGACTTGTGCTGCTGCCAAAGTTTGACATAAGGATTAATTTAGTTCTCATGCCCTCAAGATATTTTCAACTCAGAAGACATACCAAGGAAATTGTGGATTATATACAAATACTCCACCTAATTAGACAAGAGAGATAAAATGGTATAGAAATCTTTCTCTATGTGGATTTACAGAATGTAGCCTGTAATCTTCCATATCTCTTCTTAAATGCATTTTTGAGTTGGAAGAAATCTAGAGCAGAGCAATAAAAATAAGGGGTGGACAGGATGTGCTGATGAAAAAGGGAGGAACTGTTACATCAGCTTGCAAATGTCTAGCGGATGGGATGAATTGTTTAGGGGCAAGCTGGATTAGAAGTAAATATGATAATCAGAGGAAACTAAGTAAATGAACAGTCAAACTTAATATTAGTATATTTAAAGCACCAACTGCATAGTAGATATTAAAATCTCCATATCTGCAGGTACCTGCAAATCTGTATTTGCACTTTCTCATATTTTAGAGTAGAGATATGTAAGAAAAAAGGTAAGATCACAGTTATATGTACAACAATCACCTAATAAATGGACAGCTAAACGGAAAGGCAGGAACCTCATGGATACATATTTTTTAAAGAAAGCTTGCTATATAACAGAACATAAAAATATCCTGAATTATCCCCTGAGAGGTTGGCTGGATATGACCTAAAGGGAATTTTCCAACTCTAATGTCTATGATTCACCATATAGCATTCTCGGGATTTTCTTACTCCTGGAAACAAAAAACCCAAACCAAAACACACAAAAAAAACCCACAACAAACCAAAATGACAATCCTTTTCCATTACTGGTTTCTGTTACCATCCTCAGAGCCACAATGTAACTGGATGCTGACACAACTTACGGAAACACTGAGAGGAAGAAAAGAGTCAATTTGAAAGACTTACAGCCAAATGCTATTCTCAGTTTCATTACCGCAAACTATCAGTGACATTTATCTTTTCTAAATTGTTCTAAACTTATATCTTTGTAACAGAAAGCAGAATCCGTCCTCTCATGCTAAAACGCCACTGTGGAGACTCCAGTGACTTGAGACCAAAGGCCACCAGAATCTGACGTCTGTCCTAGTCCTAAGGCAGCACTGCAGCAGGAGCTAAGACACACAAACTGAAATGCAGAGAACTTGCAGATGGTCTTAATAAAAAGCAAGACAATTTGCAGCAGATGCCTAACTAATGTAGACTGAAGAAAAAAAAAAAAGGAAACTACGTCTACTGGAGTTTCTGTAACAGATTAAGTCACTGGCTTGGAAAACAGATCACTGCCTGTGAGTCCAGCTCCTGCAAGAGCACAGTAGTAGAAAAAGCAGACCCCCCTCACTGTATAATTTGTAGAATAAGTGGAAGATGGTGTCTGATTCTCTGAGTAACTTTTTATTTTTAGAGGGAAAATGGGAAAGAAATAGCTCCTGCCTGCACTGACCTAATTTACCATTTTGCTACCTAGATGCCATTTTCCTCACAAGAAAATGGAAAAAATGCTATCATGGTGCATAACCATTTTTTGGGTTTTTTTTTTTAGGCTTTAAATGTTACATTGCTCATAGAAAAGAACAAGGAACTTGAACTAGATACAGAAGCTAATTTATTTTTATTACAGTTTGTTCCAAATTAATCTGTTTTGGATACAATGATATGCTGCCTTGACTGAATTTAAGCCTTGTTATAATCTTGTGAAAAAAGGACTTCATTAGTTAAGAATAACAAAAATCATAATCTGTCAGTAGCAGAAAAACATTACTGACTTTAGCCATATGGAAAACAGTTAAAAATCAAGCTTTGCTTTCAGTAACACATTTATATTAGATCAGTACAAACAAATTCTTTGCTAATCACTTTCAAATGTTGGTAGAGGCACTGGCTGCAAATCCAAATGGGACTGTTACAATTATCTAATCTAGCATCTACCACAAGCAAGAGAACTTCAAATAATACCCTTGCATCAAACACAAGACTGCTTGTTTAAGAGCATGTTTTTTGGAAAGATGTCAATCTTGATGACAATGTCTATTGATGGAGAACCACTGAAATCCTTACACAAGTTTTTCCAGAGGTAAATTAATGGCTGTCAAAATTTAAAATGTTTAATCTACCTTTTAATTTTCATGATTACTATAATTAAAATACTAATTTCAAAGACATTAAAAGGACAATTCCCATTATATTGACACATATTTTAATTGCCTCCCCTCCCCCTTTTTTTAACTGTTAATACAATATGACCACCATTACAGCATAGAGTAGAGGATTCAATCAATCTGGTCCCCCATGACATAGGAAATTGTGGAAAACTAAATTCTTAGGGTGAGTTTCTGCTCCAGATTCAGCTGCTTACATATACATGACTAAGACATGGGTGCCCAAATGTGAGCTAGGTGTCTCAACTCCACTAGATCTCTCTCAGTGGAGATCTAGTGAATACAGTCAAGGGAGACTGTTCAGCTTAGAGCACATAATTATGTTTAGTCTGCTGAGCAGCTTTCAGCCCCACAGACTGCACTGAGCAGTTCCTAGTTCACCTATACAAATCTCTATGGCAGCCACTTAAATACCAGTGTTAGTTTAAGCTGACTCCTTCTTCAGGAGATCAGTTAAAAAATGATACAGGCATGTATGACTTGAGAATCTATAGACCGCTCAAGTCATTTACCAAGGGGTGGCAGCAGTAACACAGAACCTTCATCCAGAAGTGTGACCACGCTCTAAAACAGCACTAGACGCCTCTGAGTGAGCAACTGAATCAAGGCCATAATTTCTTAGCTGATATACTCACTCCAAGCTAATTTAAAATGTAATTGTGTCACTCTTAATTAAAATCAAAATAATAGAAAGCATACCTGACAAACATCATAGTGCTCAAAGAGCGACAGCAAACCAATATCACTGCGGCTTGTGATACCTTTCAAAATTGTGATATTGCCATTTCCAGAGTCCAGCTCTATCACATTGTTGAAAACATTGGACACAGCTTTTCCAGTCAAAAGCAAGTTCACCAATTCCTGTTTGTGACATTTTGAAAAACAAACAAATAAGCAAATCCCAGTAAACATCTTGTCTCTACCAGATATCAGTAGAAGATTAATTCAGGACTAATAGTTACACATGCACCTGACCCTTATTTTTGTGGTGGCTTTAAATTTAGCGTAAGGATTAGGATTGCTTACATTTTTTTTTTCCCTGAAATTTTAGGTAAAGTCTACTCCCAAAGTCAAATGAGAAAATATTAGCAGAGTTTTCAGTGTTCAGCTTTCCAGAGGCAGACTGCTCTCAACCTTCTGAGTGTTGTTTTTCTAAAAAATTCAAACATTTTGGTGTCCCTTTTGCTCTACAATTAAAGCTACAGCATGAATGATGTAAATTAATAGTCTATACAGTACTATCTGATATTTCTGCATGTGCTTAGTGATGAATTTTCTATGTTGGACAAGATGTGTTAAAAGATTATTTCTTTCTCACTGATTATTCCTGGATGAACTTAAGACTCATTCAGTAAGACATTCACCCATATGGCTTCACATCTACTCCTCATCACTAATGTACTTACTATAACAGATTGATTACTTCTTCTCCAATTGAACTGGAAATACAGGTGTGTCAGTGTCTAAATACGTGTGAGAGGGTGGAGGGGTGTGCATGTGCCCTTGTGAATGTGTGTAAAGTTTAAGGAGCAGAGATACTAGACAAGTTGTTTGTGTAAGATCCCACAAGGGCAAGCTAGGATGTAACAGCATGTAACAACATCTAGCAGCAGAATGTGCTACAGCAGTGAACAAGCTAACTACTAATAAATAACATATGTCAAGAAACATGATGGAAAATAACAAGAATGTTTCCAGAAAAAATTAGTCCATATTACCATACCCAAAGACATGAATAGCAATGGTATTGCCAGTTTGAACTTGATGTATGATTTGAAAAATACTGCACACATTTATAGCCCCATGTTTCTCCTGAAGGACACCCCAAAGTTTATAGGCTCTTACTGGTGTTTTCAGGACACCTAATCTGCCAGTGATGTTCCATTTGACCTTCTTGACAAATGACTGTGTAATCACAGTCTAAAAGTCTTCTAGCAACAGTAGAAGAGAAGAACATGCACTACATGTCTTTTAGACACATCTATAAGTCGTCAGTATTTCCAGTTTGAGGAGTTTCCAGGCAGTTAGCTGGGAAATGACCATTTACAGAGGAGCTGTACTAGCAGGCATGCAACCCCAGTCACCTTTCCAAAATGGCAGGGAAGAAACACAGTTTGCAGTCTCAGTGGCATCTCAGCACTGAAATCAAGTAAGGAGTATGAAAGAGGTGGATGAGAGGAGTATCAGCACATGCACATATAGGTACAGACACACATGGACCAGAAAACCATGCCAAAAAGCAGAGGCTCTGAAAGCAAAGCTAACGATATGCCAAAACACAAGAAAGAAAAAAGAATAAAGGATGAAAGTTTTTGACACGATGGGGAAAAATGAAAAACATTAGAAATTTAAAATAACAAATGCCATCTCTTTCCAGAGGCCAGTTCACAGTTCTGCACGCAGAGGTTGTATGACATCCCCAAAGACCACATGCTTAACCTACCTGAGTACAATAGCCATGGCTTCCAATCAACCGGTTTGTAAGCACGTCAAAATCATTGCGCACCCTGAAAGGGAGTGGAGAATACAATTAAATTAAGAGTGAAGAACACAAATTTAAACAGGATTCCTTTTTTTTTTTCATTCGACTTAACATTTCTAAGTCTTGAGAAGAAATCCCAAACTGGTTTCTCAACCATAAATACAGTTCTTGATTTTGGAATCCTTTCAAGGTGATTTTTGCATGGACAGTATATATCAGCTAAACCTGTGGCAAGTAAAAGTTGGTTAGAGCTAGACTGAAGAAAATAGCTGTAAAGCCACTGTCACTACTAGTTAAAATTTTAGAAATTAGAACTACTGGACTACTTGTCTTACAGAGTTACAGTCACAGAATGGTTGAGGTTGGAAGGGACCACTGGAGGTCACCATGTCTAACCGTCCTGCTCACAGCCCCCTAGAGCCAGTTGCCCAGGACCATGTCTTGATGCATTCTGAATGCCTCTAAAGAGGCAGACTTTGCACCCTACCTGGGCAACCTACTCCAGTACTCAGATATGATGTTCTCACAAATATGTGCATGTATTATTACTATCATTAGTACTTGGAATACACCCACCACAAACTGAAGATTATATAATATATATACTATATGGTCCATGAAAAGAAGAGAATTAAAAACCAAAACAACTCGAGGTCTATGCGTCCATAATACTGCTGTGTGGTCGTTTTTTCTACCTTATGATATCAAAATGTCCATGAAACTGCATTTTTGATAAATATGGAGTAGCATGTCCCCAAACTAAGTTCCTTCTTGCATAACTACTGGAGTTATTGAATTAGTGATTGGTTAATGACCTAAAAACTGCAACTCTGATAATTTTATCCTGCAGATATAATGTAATTGAAAACATTATTTTACACATCAATAAATGTCTAATACAGCGTTGAGAAAAAACAGCGTACTGTATGCTGGGACAGCTATGGCAATAGACTCAATCGGTTAATTCTATGGTTCATAAAAAAGCTATTTCCCTTCAGAATACATTAATCACAATTGTTTTGGCTACATTCTTATTTTGGTATTGTTACAAAGATAGAGAGAATGCCTGAATGATCATCAACCAAAAACTTAGCAATTCTATATACATCTGGCCTTTTCATTCTCATTTGACTTACTTGTAAAATTTTCTATGCACCCAAATATTTATATTTCCAGGCAATTAGCACAATTATTTTTTAAAGAAAATTTTTTTTTGCGAAAAACTTAAGAGTTGAATTTATATGGTTAGAGTAAAGCTAGCTAGGAACTTCCCTTCAACATTGCTATACATGGCCTGCTAAAAAAATTGATTTCTTACGTAATAAGCTGGGACATTCCCTGTCTTCATCACAAACTTTACATAATTATGATTTCCTTGCATGCCAAGATCAGAATATAATATATGATTTTCAGCTCTAATGATACTTAGAACATGCAAAACATCATAGCCATTGAATAACAACACCCTTTAAAAAAAAAATTGTTTTAAAGGTAATCATAACAAAGTGCCACAATAACATCTTTTTCTAGTGCGAAATCAAAGAAAAGTCCACAGAAAGAGTGCCTGTGATATGGAAAATTCTCTCATGCAACACTGCAAGGAATGGATGAGGTGATAATAATCTTTGGATTTTGGCCATTTTTTAGTTTTAGAAACAGTTTCATCTTGAAAACGCCATAACCTTGTTTGAAACAAGTAGACTATACAATATGCGTCAGTTAGGGACGATGGGACATACGACAAAGACAATAGGAGGAAGTTCTAATTTCTTCTGTAGGTAAAAACAATATGGGAGTTTAGAGGTGTATCACAGATTTTCAAGAAGAAGAACATCTGCCTTTCAAATCAACTCTGCTAATGAGGAAACAAACATCAGGCATATAGCTACGAGCTTTACACCTATTCTAAATGGCTTTAAGATTATTATTCATACCTGCCAAAGACTAGCTTCTGTGCAGGTGTATTTATTATGTATCAACAAAAGGCGAGTACACTTTATGCATTATAAAAATATCAGATAATGATAATAAGGTGTTTTGTTTTCTCCAGGCTGTGAAGACATTCATTAATGACAAGCAAATATGACGCATTTGTGCATTCTGGTGTTCTGGCTCTCAAACAGAACAACAAAACTAATTCATGACTACTATGTCCCCACATGCAATTTTCCACTTATAATTTCTAAATCACTTTAAAGTGGACAATCCCATTAATTTTAAGCCAGGAGACTTGTCAGTGTCCTAGTCATCATCATACAATGAGTTAAAGGCTTGACTCTACTGAATCCCTCCTTCTCAATTTACAGTCCAATGCTCTGCATGCTCCTTTGTCAGAATCATAGGTCAGTAAAAAGACACAACCAAAGAGAACAGTGTTAATGGCAAATATTTCTTCCTGGTGCTACATTATCAATATTTTCCAGTGTCATGGTAATACACAATTGTAACTGGAATGAGCTAAAAATATGGTGAGCGCTGGCACAGAATGGTGGAGTTTGCCTCACCTGGTAATACTATAAAGTTTGTGGGGAAAAAAAAGCCCACCAAACCCCCCCCCAAAACAACCTTTTCAGTCAGAAGGCAAGATACTGATTTTTAAAATCTCCTGGACAAATACTTATTATTCAGCATGTGTTCAAACATGCTTATGCAAAATCTTCAGCAGGAATCATTTCCGGAGTTGATGCATAATCAAAAAACTGTCACTATAATCTGCTAAATTCCAAATCACTCTGTAAGATATCCCAGCTTGATTTTTATTACCAGTTGTAATGTGGGTAATGTGGCTTATGTCTGCACTGAAACCTGGGAGGAAAGAGCTGGAATTCTCTATGCAGTGAGTGAAGCTGTGGCTTCTGCTACAGCTGAAGAACCCTGTTGAGACGAGAGAAAGCAACAAATACACTCAGATTAACACACTTGCCAATGTGTGTAAAGTCATAGTTTCAGCTTTTGTCTGTTTCAGTTTTTGCCCTGGGACCCTTGAATTGCTGAATCCTCCATTCAGCAGTGCTGGGATTACTTAGTCCAGCTTTTCTGATTTCTTGACAAACTGCAGATGTATTTTTACACACTCAGAGAAACTAAATAACTTGGCAAAACTTATCTCCACATAGTTCATTAATTTTGTACTGTTCTTTTTAAAAATATTTATATTTAAATCTTCTTTTATCCCTCCTTAGGGGGTGATCAGGATGAGGTACCTCTATCCTAAGGCTTAGCTGTCTTTTGCTCAGCATGCAACAAACATTTTTTTTTACATTATTACCACATAAAACGAATGTCATTATGGGAAAAAAAAAATTATGTGCAATGTGGCTTCTGAACAAGTATCTAAAGCAATGGAGAAATCTCATCATGACAGAAATCAACAAAATACATCTGGTATGAATTATACATATTTTTTCATGGTTCTTAATGCTGTTGGTTTTTAGGGCAGGAATGCCTGAAACGGCCTTTCCAAAAAAATATCATTACATATTATAAATCTCATGCTCCTCTCCATGCTCCCGTTGGTGATTCTGTGTTTACCTTCAGCTTTGTTGAAACTGTTAAAGTTATAAATAATGCATTTGTTAAGGATGTAAGGTACTGAAGATTATAACGTTCTGAGCCCGAACTTTGATGGACTGAATTGTCACAGACATACTGCCGTAACTTGTTAACTTCAAGGTAGCCATTATGGTTCTTATTATGAATCTGTCTCATGTTTTAAAATCATTCATCCATTCTGGGACATACAAATTATTAAAAAATAGCCTAAGAGTTTAAGACAGATGGTCAAAAATACCAGAATTAGAAGAAACTGTAATGGCAGTATAAACCTTAGCAATGATGGTAAATGAATAAAATTAATTACAGTGATCTGTATAGACTGTATAGACTGTAAGGTTTTGAAAGTGCATAAATATAAATCAATAATATAAACATTTTGAGCACTGGATGCAACAATATAACACAATCTGTAATCATATGAATGTTTTCTTAGCAAATAATACTGAGATAGAAAATAAGACATTTAAAAAATGTTTCATACACATTAATTCTCAATTTGCTTCCAGGAAAATTCTTGCCAAGTTTAAATGGAGAAATTCTGAGCATTGAATATTAAATACAAAAGCCACATACAAACTGTAATACTAGGAATAACTCCAGATTATCAGAATACAAGTTAGTTTGTATCAGTTATTTACCCTAAATATTGTTTGGATTGATAGGAGAACAAAATAAAACAATATAAAGCAAACAAAAAAAAAATGGTGCATTCAAGTAAGTGCTAGCTGTTTTACAGTCCTTAACTCTGTGGCTAAGCTGTAATAGAAAATTGGTTACCTCACTTTGTTCATGGCAACAGACAGCTATATTAACAAACACACAATTACAAGTCAACTCCAAAAATAGAATTTGGGTTGGGAGGGAGAAAAACTAGTCTTCAAGCATAAGGATTTTAAATAATGACAATGGGGGTGTGGAAAATGACAGGATGGGTGACTGGCTTATTATGTAAATGTTCCATAATATTTTTTTTTATACTGGCACACTGCAAAGGTTTCAAATGAATGTTCAAAAAAGAAGGGAAGAGCCCCTCTGAAAAAAGGGATTCAAACCAGCAAAAGAAGTGGCTTCATTCTCTATTGACCATTTTTTCACATACCTGCTAATCTCACAAAGTTCTTAGAATGTACAGATCCTGAGGCAATCATGCACATTTAATTCACATTTAATTCATCAGCTCTGCTGTCACAGGGTGCTAGCACACTATAGGAAGTATCTATATTTCAGAGAAATAGATTTGATGTGAAAAGTGATTAATCTATTGGCATATCCAACCCACTATTTCATTTTTAAAAATAGATTATCTTTCTCACTGAATGTAGCATGTCTTCCTGAGCGCAGCACATTAAGGTAATAAACCAGGATCTGCTTAAGCGTGTGACGTTGTGTTTAGCAAATAGCTGAATAGTACACAGTATGACAGTACATTGACTGAAACTTGACAGATTTTTTGTAGTAGAATCATTCTTT